TGCTAGGATTACAGGCGCGAGCCACCGTGCCCAGCCAACATTATTTTTAAATAATAAAATATTTTAAACATCTAGAAAAGCACACAAAAAAATAACTTTTCAGGTACCTACAAAAAACACCTCAAAGAGTAATATGTTTGCCATATTTGCTTCAGATATTTTCCTGCCTTTTTGAAAGAAGTAAAATATTACATAGCCAAAGCGGCCCCCGTCCCCCAATTCCTTCCGCATTTCTTCTGACCCAATCAATAGCCTTAGGTTGAGGCATATCATCCTCTTCTGTAAACCAGGTTTGGTTGGTGCAAACAATAGGCTTAACTCGAGTTAGTTTAAGGAAAAATACACTTTCTAAGGTGTATTCAATAGCTCAAGAATCCTTAGCGGGGCTAGAGGAAGAGCTTCTAGGGTAAATCCAGGACGAAGTCCGAGAACTACTTCACAAAACTGGCCAGATACAGGAGATGATCCCGGATCCCCACAGATTCTGCTGTAGTCAGGGAGACGCTGCCGCTGCACTGACCCTAGAGACACACAGAGCCAAAGTGGTTCATGAGCGAGCTGCCACCGCCCCCCAACCACAGCTTAGCTCCGGCCACCCGGGGGCTAGAGACCAGGCTCCGCTACCACACTGGCCAGCAGACCGCCATGCTTGGCTTCTGCCTCAGGTTGCACGTTTCTGCCTCCAGCTCCTACACAGGTGCATCTCCTTCATAATCCCTGAGTCCCTTGCAAAAACTACCTGCAAAGAAGTCTGGGAAATGTAGTTTGTAGCTTTCCAGGCTCTAGGCAAGTCCAAAGGAGCAATTAGGTTGTTTTCACTTTCTTTGCTATTACAAATATCTTTGTATATGTCTCAGTGTTTTCTAGGATAGACACCTGGAAGTGAAGCTGCTGAGTCTTAGGGTCTGAAAGTTTCACCTTGGCTGAGTGTTGCTAAATTGTTTTTCCAGACAGATTTTTGCTGTCTGATAAGTGTGAAATGATATCTCATTGTGGCTTTAATGTGCATTTCCTTGATTATTAATGAAGCCAAGTAT